GGCCAAGATGGCCAAATTTCATCTCTCATACTTTGGACATATTGTCAGGAGGAACCAGTCGCTGGAGAAGGTTATCATGTTTGGTAAGGTGGAGGGTCAGAGAAAAAGAGGAAGACCCCCAACAAGATGGACTGGCCAAGCGGCAGCATCAATGGACTCAAGCATGGCAACAGTAGTGAGGTTGGCCCAGGATCGGGCAGTGTTTAGTTCTGCTGGGCATAAGGTCACTATGGGTCAGTACCGACTTCATGGCACCTAACAACAACAACAACAACAACACTAGAACTAAAGGATCTCTGTAGGCTATGGGAGCATTGTAGTTACAAGTTGGGCTGCGAATCTCAAGGTCAGCAGTTCAAAACTACCAGTCATTCCACGGGAGAAAGATGAGGCTTTCTGCTCCTGTAAAGATTTGCAGTCTCAGAAACACTATACAGGGTCGCTATGCATTGGAACCAACTCCACGTCACACTACCACCACCACGCTCGAACTCTCCAGCACATCTACACAAAATTTATACAAATGGCCCACATATTGGCCCACACATTCTCTTAAACTTATCAAATATTTACAGGGCTACCAAACTTAAAGATTCAATTATAGCTATACAAAAGAACTAAACACACACAGAATTACTTTTCTGGACCATCCTCTGGATTCTTCCAGTTTGGGGACACAACACCGCTCAAACACTTTACTCCTTTTACTCCTTAACTTCCTGATTGCACTGGCTTTCAGGAAGAGACGCCTCAGGCTTACACAGCCATATGAGAGTATCACAGTACAATGAAACTGGGAGAGCCTGCCTTGCTTTTCCAGGTCTTAAAAGTTTTCCACCTGTGGCAGGTGCAATCTTGCCACTTTTCTATTGTTCTCCATTTGTACGAAATAATTGAGTTTTTTCTTCTGACAGGTTTTCATCTGACCCAGGCTTTCATTGGTTTTACTCTCTAATCCTTCTATGCACTTTACAAAAAAAAGGCTTTCTGAGAAATGGTTTGGATACAATCCAGCAAGCTTAACGTCTCCCCCAAGCTCACTGTCAAAATACTCTGTCTCTATGAAGCTTAAAGCATTTACTGATGAAGATCGAAGACCACAGCCTTCAGCATGGATTACATTTCAATGTAAAGAAAACAAAAATCCTCACCACTGGATCAATACACATTTCTTTAACAATGGAGAAAAGATTGAAGTTGTCAAGGACTTCATTCTTCTTGGATCAACTATCAACACTCGCGGAAGCAGCAGTCAAGAGATCAGACGACGTATTGCATTAGGCAAATCTGCTGCACAGGAACTTTTTAAAGTATTGAAGAGCAGAGATGTCAGCTTGAGGACTAAGGTGTGCCTGACCCAAGCCATGGTATTTTCAATCACCTCATATGCAGGCGAAAGCTGAACAGTGAATAAGGAAGACCGTAGAAGAACTGACGCTTTTGAGTTATGGTGTTGGAGGAGAATATTGAAAGTGCCACGGGCTGCCAAAAGAGCCAACAGATCCATGGTGGAAGAAGTGCAGCCAGAGTGCTCCTTGGAGGATAGGATGGCCAAACTTCGTCTCTCATACTTCGGACATATTGTAAGCCAGTCGCTGGAGAAGGATATGATGTTTGGTAAGGTGGAGGGTCAGAGAAAAAGAGGAAGACCCCCAATGAGATGGACTGGCAAAGTGGCAGCATCAGTGGGCTCAAGCATGGCAACAATTGTGAGGTTGTCCCAGGATCGGGCAGTGTTTCATTCTGTTTTACATAGAGTCACTATGAATTGGTGCCGAGTCGATGGCACCTAACAACAACAACAACAACGAAGCTCTAACACGTTCCTCCAGACCAGGACAACAGTCTAAATGAGGCCAAATGAGAGCTTTGCAATGAGAATGAGACATTGCACTTTAAATATTACGATCTGGGATTTTGTGAAAAGAAAAGCTACTACATTCACTTACCGAATTAGCAATGGCATGAATGACTCTAGAAAATCCCACTGCGTCGTTCAGTCCCTCCTAATTAAAGAAACAAATATATTTACTCGCACGTCTTCTTAAAGCTTTACATTTGCCAACATACTTTCAAGTTACTTTCATTTGTTGTAAGCAAGGGGGATCCCAAATATCTGTTGCCAACGAGCTGATTTTGACTTACAGTGACCCTACAAGGCCGTGTAGAAGTGATCGCCAGGGTTTCATAAACTGTCCGTCTTTACGGGAGCAGACAGCCACATCCTTCTCCCGAGGAGTGGCGGATGGGCTTGAACTGCTGACCTTGCAGTCAGCATCTCAATGCCTAACCCACTTGTCGCCAGAGCTCCTGCATTCATCATAAACTGCCATCAAGTTGACTCTAACACATAGTAACCTGGTATAAGGGTTTCAAAGCTGTAAAACTTGGTTGGAGCAGACAGCCTCATCTTCCTCTCACAGATTAGCTGGTGGGTTTGAACTGCCAACCTGAGGTTAGCAGCCCAGTGCTTCTCCTACAGCACCACCTGGGCTCCTTGGTAGTAGGATAAGCCAGGTGCAAATTAGTCATCAGTTACTGACATCAAAGAGCCTGGGGTTCAGCCATCATTTCATATAGTTTGTTGAACTTTCCAAACCAGGCTACCTAGAGGTCTTTAAAACATAAACTTAGAGAAGCCGCCACCTTCCGGCCAAATTCAATACTGTATCAAATCTGAAGAAACCTGTCCACTGACAAAATTAAGCACTAATTCCTGATTTTTGCCTTGGAAAAATCAATTATTACACTTTTTAACAGCACAGTGCTCAGACTCCTCGTCACTTCTCCTGTTTCCTTCCCAACAGTGTCCGAGCAGGTCCCCATCTCTGTTGTCTCCTCAGCAGCACTGCTGGCTCCAGGGTCTCTGCACACTGGTGTCACCGCACCACTCCACTGCAATGACTCCTCTCCTTTAAACGGCTCAAGTCTCCCGTTTGTCTCAGGGGCACCTGGCATGGCTGACCACTCCGTCCTTCACACTCTGGTCCCTGAATCGTGGTCATCTCTTGGCACATTTTCTCCATTTGCATCACTGAAATGTCAGTGGGCCCCAGGACCCTTCTCCAGTGCCTCCTCTCGTTCCTCATACACTCTGTAGGGAACCTAAGGTGCTCCCAGCCTCTCTGCTGACAGCCATGGGTGAGCCTCACCTCTCTCCTGTGCTCAGGATGGACAGATCTAACTGTCTATGGGACATCTACACCTGGAGGTCCCCCAAGATATCTAAAAACGGATCTGGTGGAATTCGAAGGTGACTTTTCCCACCATCGGGGAAGAGGTTTCCCTGAATGGACACAAATAAAGTGAACAGAAAAAGGCTTGAAACACAGTTCATGTGCCTTTGCCCTGGTGTGGCGCTGTAGAACAAGTACTGGACTGCGGACCACAAGATTGGCAGTTCAAACCCACCAGCCGCTCCTCAGTAACCCTACACAAAGTCACTATAAGTGGGAACTGCTTCAACAGCACTTAACAACATGAGGTCATCTCCCACTCATCTCCTTGTCCTCTGAGGGACTGTCAGAGAGAGCTCTGATGGGGCATTGGGCTTCCTGTCCTGCCTCCTTCAGAACAGAGCTGCACAATGGAGCCCTCGAACAACAGAGCCCTCAAACTGGTCCCTCTGCTGGGGGATCCAACAACTCACAGGGAATCCTGTTGTGGCTCTGTGGAATAAGCGCTGGACTGCTAATCAGTGGTTCAAATACCCCAGTCACTCCTTGGAAACCCTATATAGGATTACCATAAGTCAGAACCAACTCAAGAGCAACTTAACAACAACACAACTCATACTTCAGGCAACTGGCCTCTTCGATTTTGGTGTTGCCCTTTATAGTGAGGGGCTAATTTTTTCTGTTTTAAGTAGCCACTGTCTAAATCTAGAAGTGGGTCGCTCTACTGATTCACTCAGTAGACCCACGGCCTTGGCCTTGGCCTGTCCTGTATGTGTGGGAGCTTGACCTTCACCCACACCCAAACCTGCTCCCATACCTCCCTCCCAACACACCTACCTCCCTCCTCCAGCCCAGCCCATCGAAGTGAACTAGTCTACTCAGTTGCTCAAATATTTAACTTGAGCATCTTTTCGCTTCCCTTACGTCTTTCCCCACCCACACCCAGTCACAACTGCCTTACAGCCTTAGCGTCTACCTTCTCACTAGCCCCAGATTCCCTCTACACTAGTACTCACTGTCCTACTCCTACTCCAGATCACTCATCCTAGGGTCCTGCACAGCGTAACTGGTCTCCCTGCCTCCATGTCAATCCACTCGCCACAGAGCAGTCAAGGTGATGTTCCAGTGCACATCCTACCATGTCACCCTAACCTATTAGGTTGGGTGCTCTATTGCTTTTGAAAAAGGAGTAACAGCAGCAAAAGTTACACATGCCAAAACGAGTTGATGGGCAACGAGCCTCAGGAACACACATTCTGAACCCAAAATAAGGACACTTTCCTCAAGACTGTGAGCATGGAAATGAAGACTGGTCAACCATGATGTAAGCCTCCCTTTGTAGACTCGGTCTTCTTCATGTTTAACGTTTACCGGCCCTCATTTAGCTGAGGCTTTTCAATCATATCTTCTGTGGTAGGAAACTACTCGTTACACAGAACCCAATATCTGGTCTAGATCTGAACCAAATCCACAGAAAGGGGTAGATGAGTATCTGTGTTGTCATTTCTTGGCCAAAGGAAAGCCCCCTAACCCATCACCTGTTCTTTAGCGTGTTTCTGCTGCTCTCTTCTTTTACGTTCTTCTTCATCAACCTTGCTGATAGCTATGTACCGTTCTTTCTAAAAGACATAAAGCAGATACAAGATTTTACGAAAGCAACTTGATCCGAAAGAATTAGAAATTCAAAGTTTTCTATCACTACAGTCTGTTCTGGGCTGAACACACCTGAAGGCCTTTTGAAATGAGAGAGGCTGACTTGAGATCATGTATCACACACCCAGATCTGGCCTCTGCATAGCCATGACTTTCCCCACGGTTTATTAGCTCACTCCAATGGACATCGTGTTAAAGGAGCAACAGCCTCTGAGAATAAGACTTTCTGCAATGTCCTAACAAGTCACATAGTGTATCTGAACATGAATTTCTACCTGAATTGCTTTTAAACTGAAATTCCTATGTGACATTTTATTAATCTATTTTTTTAAGTACCAGATTTTCCAGTAACTTGCCAGAAAACGAACCCACCGCCACCAAGTCAATCCTGACCCAATCGGACAGAAGAGAACTGCTCCCGAAGGTTTCTAGGACTGCGAGTCCTTACTGGGCATATTATGTGTTGAATGTAAAACTGATGATGTGCTCTGTTAAGCCTCTACTCAATTCACAATCAAGTTAAAAAAAAATCTTCACTGGAGTAGACAGTTCATCCTTCATCAGAAAACCCTACACACACCACTGCCCGGTCCTGGGCTATCCTTACAATAGTTGTCATCCCTGAGCCCATCTCGGTGGGGATCGTCCTCTTGCTCGGCTGAGTCTCCACTTTATCGAGCACAATATCCTTCTATCAAACATACCACAAAGCCTTCTGTGTCCACGTTTGAAAATTATCTTCTAGCAAGACTGCTTTATTTATTCTGACCAGCTATTTAATTCTATTTCTGCCAGAAAAAGCAGACACTAAATCCTGAAAGCCTGCAAAAAGAGCCCACCATCAGCCCATTCATATACACCTTGAGACTACATGATGATAATTATGCTCATGTCTCTGACCCAGGGTTTTATACTTTCCTCTTCCCTGGCCACATCACATGAGGCCCTTGTAGTCAGACACACAATTACAGATAGCTTTTGGCCACAGTAAGAATAGGAGTTAGCATTTATCTATTTGCACATTTACAGAATGTGTTCACTTGCATCTAGCCAATGATCAGCAACATTCTCCGCCTTCCCAATCTCCACCTGAGGAAAACGAGCCTTAAATGACTTGGACTTGGTCCAGGTTGCCCAACTCCACAGGGAGCAAAAGCCAAGGTTGAAATTCTGTCAAGGTTTCAGTGTATCATTGCTAGTGTTTAAGGCTGGCTCTGGATAACTCTTGGGGTTACCTTTTCAGTTTCTAAAGTCTCAACGTGAATGCCCTTGGGATACCTAAAGAAAGAAAAGAAAACATAACAGAAGCACATGAGTCAATGGGGATCACACCCAAAGTATTAAGCAACTCGACAGCTATGTCCACCCACTGTCACTGACTTAATACAGACTGTAGAAAGAAAAACTGTGTGAGCATTTCCTCAGTCAACAACCAAATCTCTACTATGCGACTTCAAAGACTAGAAATGAACAGAACGGAAGATGAATAGGTGAGGCCAATGTGATCACTAAAAGAGATTTTAAAAGGTTTTAGAGCATCTATTAAGAAGTAATAACAGGGATACAGGGATTGAGACATGGTTGGAATGGGGAAATAATGTTAAGATGCTTGGCTGTCTTTTGAATCTTGGTTTTCCTAGCATACCATTATAAAATAGACACTGGAGGGAGAGAGAAAGGAATAGCCAGAAATATCACCATAGAAAGCTTGTAAGTCCGTCTTCTGCCTAGAACTGATTGGAATACCTAAAATGGAGTTACAACGTGCCCAGTGAAGGAGGCTTCCTAAAGAGCCTCTGCATTACATAAGACCATACGTGGAAACTTGAACCGCATCCAGAATCTTCTAAGGTGGGAAATTTCCACTTGAAAGGACAAGCAGACCAGCATGGAGCGGCTAGAAGAACAGAAGATACTTCTTGAAAGAAAGACCGACAGGAAAAATACAAAACAATAATGGCAGTCTGACTGATTACTACAAGAACAAGCAAGTTGCTCACCCAGGAGACATCACGGCAAGTGGGCTGATCCCCTTAGGGCAAACCCCCTTCCAAGACTAAGACTCAATGGGAAAACACGCTCTGATTGGTGACCACGTTCGTCACCAATAAGGGGAAGTGAGGGAAAAACAGCAATGAAGCTGTGAGCTATGTCCTACAATGTTCAA